AGCTCCCGCTCCATGTTCTTCATGCTGGTCTGAGGGCAGAGAGGGGAGCGTCACCTGCTGCCCATGGAACGGGGCTGGCACCAGGTGGGACCAGGGCTGGGATCAGCACCAGGGCTTGGATCAGCATTAGAGCTGGGATCAACATCAGGCCAGGATCAGCACCTGGGCCAGGATCAGGGCTGGGATCAGCACCAGGGCCAGGATCAGCACTAGGGCTGGGATCAGCATTAGGGCCAGGATTGGCTTCAGGGCCAGGATCAGGGTTGGGACTGGCACCGGGGCCTGGACCAGGATCGGGGCTAGGACCAGCATCAGGGGCAGGGGCAGGGCTGGGGCCAGCACCATCAGGGTCAGGATAATCATCAGGGCTGGGATCAGGGCCGGGACCAGTATCAGAGCCAGGATCAGCATCAGGACCAGGATTAACATCAAGGCCAGGATCAGGCCTGGGACCAGTATCAGGACTGGCACTGGGGCCAGCACTAGGATGTGGCCCAGGGCTGGGCTGGGGTTGGGAACTGAGGCCACACCAGGACCAGGACTGGGGCTGGCACCGGCACCAGGACCAGGACCAACATCATGGCCAGGATCAGGCCCGGGACCAGCAGCATGGTCAGGATCAGGAGCAGCACTGGGACCAGGGCTGAGCTGGGGTTGGGGGCTAAGGCTGAGATCACAGCAGCGTCAGGATCGGGCTTGGGAACAGCACCAGAGCCAGGACCAGTATCAGGACCAGGGCTGGGGTGGGGATGAGGACTGGGTCCAGCATCACAGCCAGGATCAGGCCTGGGACCTGCAGCTTGGTTGGGATCAGGAACAGCACTGGGACCAGAGCCAGGATGGGGCCCAGGGCTGGGATAGGATTGGGGTTGGGACTGGGCCCAGAGCAGGGCCAGGATCGGGTCAGGATCAGGACTAGCACTGGTATGGGAATGGAGACCACCACTGGGATCAGCACCAGGATGGGGCCCAGGGCTGAGATGGGGATGGAGACTGGGGCTGGGATGGAGATGAGGACCAGCACCGGGACCAGTGCCAGGATGAGGGCTGGGATGGATGCTGGGATGGAGCTCGGGGCTGGGATGAGGATGGGCTGGGGCTGGGGGTTGGGATGGTGCTGGGGACCGGGATGGGGCCGGGATCTGGGATGGGGATCAGGATGGGGATGGGATCCAGGATGCAGATGGGATCTGGGATGGGGATGGCATCTGGGATGGGATCCGGGATTGGGCCCGCAGCAGAGCCCGGATTGGGCCCAGCACTGGGACCAGCGCCAGGACTGGGCTGGGAACCAGGATGGGGGCCGGGATGGGGTCGCCCCCCCATCCCCGGTGCTCCGGGTGCTCCCGGCTCGGCCATAGCTCGGTGCGGGCGGGGAGCCCGGATCCGACCCTCCCCGGGGGTTCGCTGCGGTAAACCGGGCTGCGGGTCCGCCGCCCGCCCACCCCTCAAGGGCATCGCCCCCCCACCCCGCGTTGCTACGGTGACCCGGTCCCGGGGGTCCCTGGTCCTCCCCCCGCCACCCCCCCATCCTCCGCCGCCGCGGGCGCTCACGCTGATGCGGACGAGCGCGTCCATGATGGAGGTGAAGGTCTGCAGGTCCTCGCCCTCGGCCATGGCTCCGCTCCCCGCGCCCGTGCCCGCGGCGGCGGCGGCAGCAGCGGCGGCCGCGATCGCCCCGGTGCGTTGCAGGGAGCGGCGGAGCCGGGGAGGGAGGGACGGAGGTGGGGGGGGGCGGCGGTGGCGCGCATGCTCGGCCCGGCGGCACAGGGGGGCGGCGGCACCGGGAGGTGGCACCGGGGATGCTCCCGCCGCACCGACGGGCATCCCCCGCCGGCAGCGCGAGGAGGGCGGCGCGGCTCGCGGAGCGGCGCCTTGGGGTGGGTGGGGTGCGGGCGGGATGGTTTGGTACCGGGGGTAATACCGGGGACAGCACCGGGGGTGGCA